AAGTCACCATTATCCTTGCCTCAATAAATCAAACTGTCAGGGTTCATAAAAATCAGACTGATTTGATATGAAAACATCAGAACGATTTGCTCTCCCCAAAAGCTGCAAGGCGACCACCTGGCGACAAAGCTCAAGGTTTATAACGACATTGTTAGCTTGACTTCATGCCAGAAGTAATCAACGAGGACACATGACGGGACGAGCACAGATTCAGTTTCACCTCAAGGCGTCTTTGTGCTCTCTCGCATGTGTCCCATAAAGCACAGAGCAAACAGTCGATGAAAAGACCGCGGTCAATATATTTCTTTGTTTACCTAACCTGTTCCTGGGTCCTGTTAACTCTGAGAAAGAAATAACAAAGGCTCGGTGGATTGTCTTGTTCGGCTGTAAGGTGTTGGGTGTGGACCTTTTTTGCAATTATAGGACCGGCTTATGTAAAAAACTCAACTGCCATGTGATTGAACGAAAGTCAACTTTCATTTCTTCGGGTTTTGCCGTTCACACCACCACAATGGGTTGAGTGAATGTGTACTCTTTTAGCTTTAATTAAAGGGCTTCCAAAAATAGAGATTTTTAGCATGTGCACTGGAAAAAAAAATAAAAAATAAAAAAAAGAAGCGACTCTACATCGACTTAAAAATGGAGCTAACCTAAGATGATTATATTGTGTGCTTCCAAAATGAAATTGAGTAAATTCAACACATCATTTTCTTCAGTGTAGGAATTGCAGCCATGATAAATTAACGGAATTTTATGAAAATGATGGGAATCTAAAATGTATGGGGAAGGAATGGAACAGTTCACAATCAACAGCATTTATTTATGTACATATTTATTTGAATGGGATAGCGTTGCCGTCGATAGAATACATTCAAGCCGTCTAATAATTTTCCATTTGTAGTCGCAAATGTATTTGTAGTCTCTGTGTAATACCAGACAAAAATCATAAAAATAAACCTTACAATAACGCAGTTACTGTAAAACAAGTGGAATAAAATGGGTGAAGTGCAAGTTATATTGAGCTACCATGAAGTGATTGTTGTTGTTTTTTTTTAAGTGCTTACAGGCAAGTGGCTTTAGAAGGTGCTGTTTATAAAGTGCCCGTCAGTGTAAGAGGCTTTGAGTGTTCGAGGGTGTTGATGAGTGATCAGCCACGTTTTCAGCTGCCTCTCGAACGAAACAGAGGTGAAGCTCCCGATAGCCATTGGCAAAAGTGATCCAGCATGCACAGTCTTCAACAGATAAAACATTTCGGTGCAAAAGTAGGATTTTCTGAATTCTACCCAACAGTCCCCCCTGAAGGCTGAACTGTGCTAGTTTTTCCAACTTTATGATAAATCCCCCCCACAGGTGGTCGGTCCATATACCAGACAGGCCTTTTTAACTAACTCTAAAAATGCTCAGGACTTTGGAATGTAAACTAACAATTGCGTAGGCCAAAAAAAAAAAAAAAAAAACTTCTCACAATCTTCTGGATCTGGCTAATATGCGACTGTTTAACATACTGTTAACTATTTGTCTTCTGATTGTAAACCACAGGGAGATTCTTCATTTGTAGTGATGACTAACTACATTATCACGGAAGGTCAAAAGATGGGAAAGTGTCCTGAGGTATGCAAGTCCCTCTCCTCCCTACCCCTTCACTCAGACATATTGTACCTCCAGTATATCGTATAGGTGTCCAAAAACCTTCAAATAAAACAGAAACAGGATCTCACTCCAAAACTGTTTTTATAACTGTGCCAAATAGGAAACATTGTTGAATTGATTTTGGTCGTCAAATGACTAACTGTGGTCATACGTGTGTATTTCAGACACTTTTTTTTAACATGTTACAGTGAAAATACCAAAGTTGAACATTCCAACGGCGGTAAAAATTGGAGGGGCTCAGTGACCATGTGAAAGCTAACTATGAGTGTGCTTTCGATTTTTCTTGTGTTTTGGAGTGATGGTACCACAGACAGGTACCAATGATGGTATTCATAGTAAATTTCACTTCTCGATTGATTTGAAAAATTGTCTCTTATCTCAGTACAAACTGAGCAAAATACTTCGATTTGAGGAAATAGGGAGCGAGCATTGCAGCGAATAGCAAAAATCTGAATAATTGACGCCCATCCCCAAAAGGTTTATGCTGTAAATACTTATAGATGCCACAAGATGAGAACCAAGGACTACTTATTTCTAGAGAAGCCTCCTCAACTGACCTCAACAGTTCGTTGCCATCCGTTATCCATTGCTATTTCATGGTTCATTTTTGCTGCTTCACTGCATCGTGGATTTTTAAAAAAAATTTTACTTTCATCACAGCCAGATGAGGTGGCTCGGGCATCTGATTAGGATGCCTCCCTGGTGAGGTGTTCCGGGCATGTCCCACTGGCAGGAGACCCCGGGGACGACCCAGGACACGCTGGAGAGACTATGTCACTCAGCTGGCCTGGGAACGCCTCGGGATTCCCCCAGGAAGAGCTAGAAGAAGCGGCTGGGGAGCAGGAAGTCTGGGCTTGAAAATATGAAATATGAAAATAAACACGCCACCTGCCATAACTTGCACTGAGTCACTCAACACACAGAGTGGCTAACTGTTAAGCAGTTAACAGCCAGCCAACTCTACACTTTGATTCACTGCGGCCTATGTCAGTCAAACAGCCCATGTCCTGGATTTTGAAATCACATGCAACTGTGCCATGAACCAGGGAGGCGTTTTAAAAGATGCAATAAAGATGACAGTAAGTTCAATGAACTGATTTTTACAATAATCACATTTGATATTTATGAATGAAATTCGACGCATTTCGATGGGCGCCAATTATATGTGGATTTTCGCTGTTCGCCAGGTGGCTCGGTTCCTATCCCCCTCCCGTGAATGGCAGATGTCCATCGTAACGCTCTCGATAAACAAGGGATGACTGTACAATTTCAGTATTTCTTTGGATTGTGCAGAAAAAGAGCAAAAGTGCTTCAGAGGGTCGTTTAAAAAATATGCAATGTTCACTGTATTCAACTACATTACAAGCTCTTTACTAACGAAGCTAGTGTAAATAGCACATAACGGTAGCTAAAAGCATAAATGCAAACGACCATAAAAATAACCAGAGAAACTTGCCAGCGAACCAACTTTGGAGGTTTCACTGTACATTGGCTGACTTTTTCTTAACTTCTATAAGAAAAGAAAAAAAAGAAACCTAACCCCAGTTCATTATTTCCAACAGCTCCCAGGCAAGCACAATTGTAGCTCTGACGCCGACTGCGAAGGAGGGAGTTTCAAACGTACGGGACATGGTAAATCCTGACGGCCCGACAGTGTGTGACCGCACCAGGCCTCACTGAACAACCGTCTATTTTTCTGTGGGGGAAACCAAGAGATCACTCCTGGCTATTCTTCTCGTATTTGACTTGGCCTTAGACTTATAGCCCTCTTCAAACTTCTCAAAGCCTTTTTAAGACATGATGACGCCGAGCGGACGGATGAGATAAAGAGCTCACCGGCCTTGTGTTTGCAAAATGGGCTTTGGCTAATGAGAACTGCTATAAGATGAACTCGTGCAGAAAAAAAAAAAAGACTCATCGTTGGCAAACATTTGATGTCTCTTTTTTAATTCTTGCCACAGGACTTTGTGCATGCTTCTATCTTGTCTCGCTTCACATTCAAGCATGCGTCTAATCGCCGCCTTAAGCAAATAAATGCATACGTCCATCGTTGCATATAGACTCACAGACTCAATGTTAGTGCTCCATATGAGCTGACATAGAGCCACTAAAAACAAACATGAGAGCTACTTTAATCGGCCCAAAATCTAATTTGTCACTCAGTTCAAAGATAGTTCGGCATATTTCGTGTCCTCCATCTTTCAATATTTAACTATTTATGTCCTCTGCATGACCCCACATCAAACCAAAGAGTTAAGACATTGCTTGATGTGTGTACCAATCAAGTTTACATCGAGGCGCCACTCGGAGCGTTGCCATCTCACGAGAACGAGTAAGCTAGGGGGATGTCGGGGAGGAGGCTTATGGCGAGTGACCAAATGCCTTCTAGGAAACCGACTGTGAATTCATGTATGGTACGGATAGAGAAGCCGCATCAGAGAGAGAGAGATAAGGGAAACGGCAAATTCAGCATCTGCTTTGCTTCACATCTTGCTTGCTACAGTTGATGCTAATTAAAGATAAGTCGATCACAAGGGGAAGCAGAAAATGTTTGGAGTGGCACGTGTTTCTCTCCCTCCCCACCCCCTAAGCGCCCGCTCAAAATAAAATGTGCTTGGCTAGTGCTGCAGCGATTCTGGGATTTTTTGATGGATGTTTTTCTTTCAAGGACATATGACTGGTGTGTGTGATAATGCAACAAAGACTTGCGAGGTTCTGGCATGGTGCCCTGTTGAGAATGACCACAACATACCAGAGTAAGTTTTTAACCCTGAATTGTTACTATTCTTTAGCCTGTTTCAAAGAAAGAGAGCTTGTACAATGTTCTTGTTTCTCCAGCCCTCCCCTCTTGAAGTCTGCAGAGAACTACACACTGTTCATCAAGAACTCTGTAACATTTCCCATATTTGGTGTGACAAGGTATGTCTGACCAAAATTGAGATGCGATAAACCCAGAAAGCATTTTGCAGAAAAAATGCACAAGCTAAATATTAAAGAGAAACAATATTATAGAATTATTACGGTTATGAGAATCTACCAAAACAAATAAAACAAACCATGGTGCATTGAAAAGAATAATCACTGGTGATTTTTTTTTTTTTTTTTGCTATTGTGCATCATAACAGTAGTTAGCAATATTATTTAACATTCACAAGGACTCCTCACTTCTTTCAAACACATTTGACACATTATTGAATACTAGTTGCTAAGCCTCGTGAAAAAAAAAAAAAAAAAAAACCCAAAAATTTGATCCAAAAGAGCCACGTCACTAATTCTGCCTCCTGCTTGGTTCTGATTGATTTTGTTAGGTAATAATATGTCAATGTTGGATTATTTATTTATTTAATTTTTTTTTGCAGTGGCGTTGCACTGCACCCTACTGGGAGGTCTTTAAAATACATCTTTCAATACACACAATGCAACGCCGAGTTTCGTTTTACACTTACTGTCACAAGCTGTTTTTTCCTGGCGTTGGAGTACCCAAGTGCAAGAAAGCAGGGGGGCAGGACTGGGGAGCAGGAGGAATCTCTAAAAAACATTCACTCCTAGAAAAAAATGAACAAAAGGAAAAGAAAACAAGGATTATAGAGGAAAAGGCGCAAGAAAACGAGAGTCAAACTTACAAACCGAACTCACTCGGAGAACTTTGACTATGACAGAAACAGAAGCAATCAACCGACAAAGACAAAAATAAAGCAGAGAACTAAATACAAGCAAACTGGCGAGACGAGCAGCACCTGGACAAGACAAGCGTACCTGAGGAAGCCGATTGGTCGAGACAAGGGACCGGCTTGACGAGAACGGGAAAACAAAGACAGCTGGGATAGGCTCCGACTGACCCGTGACCCTAGTGAGGACAAGCGGGATAGAAAATGGATGAATGGACTCTTAATATAATGTACAGTGCAAGAAAATGCATAACAAAAACGCCAAATGTTCACATTGTTGTCTTTGCAGGAGTAACCTTGTAGAGGGCATTGATGCAACATATATCAACAAATGTCTCCACAATACAAGAGATTCTCCACTGTGTCCCATATTCAGACTGGGAGACATAGTCAAGGAGTCTGGCTTTAATTTTGAAACCATTGCCAAAGTGGTAAGTTTAACGTGAACGATTGGATGTGAATGCGAAGGGATATTATATATATATATATATATATATATATATATATATATATATATATTTTTTTTTTGGACATTTCAAACCAGTTCAGTTTTTAACAGAGCGCTTTTTGTTTGTTCGCTCCTGATTATAATGACACTTTGTGTTGTTCATTTTGTGCAGGGAGGGGCCATTGGCATTGTGGTTGACTGGACATGCAACTTTGATGTGGATGTAAAATACTGCAAACCAACATACAACTTCCATGGACTGTATGGAAACCCCTCAGAGACAGACAAAGCCAGAGCATCAGTTGGATACAACTTTAGGCGTGTAGCCATATTTCTTTGGATGAACATGGTTACTACGTAGTTATTTCAAGCATTGCTGTGTGTGCTTTTGGCTCTACTTTAAGTGCCTCCCAATTCTGATTCTCAAAATGATGAATAGTGTCGTAGAATGGAGAAAATTATGTGTGTGTGATGTGGTAAATGAGAGCATGGATATAATGTTAACATTTCCATTACTCTTTCAGGTATGCAAAACATTATATGGAGGACAAGGTACCAAAAAGAACCCTCCTAAAAGTGTTTGGGATCCGGATAGATATCATTGTGCAATCGCTGGTAAGTCAAATCCTAACATACTTGTGGAAGTATGAAGACTGACCAATCCATTAGGTACGCCTCTACAATCTGCTGAGATTTCCTAAAAGAGCTCTCTTGGAAATGGTACTTAACACTTCACAAATAATTGTTTGCTCCAGTGTTTTTTGATGAAAGCAACATTTTCCAGAGAAATGTAGGGGAAGAGCAGAAGCTTGACAAAATGAACAACATGCACATATTTAAAAACTCGATGCCCTAAACTTCATGCAACAGTAAAGACACTATCGTATAGCATCATTTCGTCGAAACGAAAAGGAAAATAACTCACTCACAACCAAACTCTCCTGTAATATATAATATATAAACACAGTATTCACACATTGTATGTTTTGCGTACAAAATACAATCAACCTCTTCTACAGAGTTCGAAAAGCCCTTCATCGAAAGTGCCCATCATCAGTAGAGCAAAAGGAGCTAATTCCGTCTCAAGTTTGACATAGCATTATTAAAATAGAAATAAATACTTTGATATTTACTACATGAGAGATACCTTATCATTTATTATGAAGTTGACTTGTAGGTTTTCTCATGAAACCTCCACTTCCTTTCTAATTCCTAAAACATTCATATTAGGCTAAATGTGAAGACTGCACGTTTTATTCCGCGCATGTGGGCATTATTACCGCGTTGAATCTGAAACATTCTTACTCTGTATTGACAGGCCAGAAAATTTGATATCATCCCAACATTAACAGCAATAGGCTCCGGAGTGGGCATTTTTGGCGTGGTATGTTGGTACTGACTCATCTTTTATTATTTATTCGTTTTAAAAACAACTTTTAATTTGAAAAGATCTCAAACAGTTTTAATACCTTTTTTTCAGGCTACTGTTGTCTGTGACTTGGTGCTGCTGTATTTGCTTCCCAAAAGAGAATTTTACAAGAACATGAAATTCAAATACACCGACACACACGGACAGGTAAGCCACGTTCGTTCGTAAATGTTTCAACGTTTCAGTGACGAATCTGTTAGTTTGGCCGCAAGATGGCGGCAGAGATCAGAAAAGAGAACAGTTCATTTACAGAGAGGATCGACATACCGATGTGATATTATTCATTTGACTTGGGTATCCATTACATCTACCTCACAACTGAAACAGCAGCACTCTGCAGTTGTTTAATGAACGCTCCCCTATATGAACGTTTGTATAATATTCTAGGCTGAAAAGAAGGAAACCATTCCATACATATATACAGTATCATGCCAGACAGCTTGCTCTCCATCAATGAACCAGGCAGGACATTTTGTATTCACAGCATGACAGCGAGTCGCTCGGTTTAGACACAAGCAGCGTCTATTTCGCCAGTGAAGCCAAAACAAGACCAGGCCAAGACACTGCTCGGTCAAATGTGAGTCTAGAGTAGCTGTCTCATTCACTGTAACACACCTGTCATGAGTCTCATTTTCATGAGTTTACGCACACTCCCTTGAGTGGTCTTCTTAACAGGGGAATTCCTGTGCTTCTGTGATGCAGGACCCTGATTCAGAAGCAGGCAGTACAGAGACAGAGGAATCCAAAGTAAGGAATTGCTTTTATTTTTTTGTGTGGTGTTTTTGCCCTCCACATCTGTGCACTGCATAGACTTTGAACATTTAATGGTCATCATCAACTAAAAAGTGTTAAAGAAAATTTCCTGTAAACACTTTCAACTGATTTAATATTCAATGTCTGTGATGAAAAGCCTACTTTCGAGTGCATCCGTGGCTGACACAGATAACAGTGCTCCTGCTACTGGCAAGAGTCTCTGCTTGGCACTTGCTGTTGGTTACAAACGTTTGGTGTCACCTTGAAAATGTTGGGTAGTGAAAACAACACACACACACACACACACACACACACACACACACACACACACACACGCGCGCACATACATTTTTAAAAGGGAAGAGGGTGGGAGGGGGAAAAAAAAGGAAATACCAAACTACGCTCCAGTAAGGCAGGTGCATAGTTGTGGGTTTGTAAACCTCCACATGAATAGAAGATGTAACAACTCAAATACTTGCGCGTGTGGAATGGGCAGCATGAAAGCATATGATGCAACAGATTTGGAGACGTGAGAAATTCTTCTTCCCTGGCCATATTTAAGAGAATTACTCCAACAATGATTCTTAGCGAATGTTGTGTCTTAAAATCATAAGCTTCTCACATTGCAAAATTAAGTATAATCTTTAAAAAAACATATGCCAAACCTGTCAACTCATACGGTTTAGCCATATTTTATACGGATTTTGTGGTGAATCTTACGTATATGGCCATATCGCACAAATCATAAGGATTCTGAAAATTTCCGTTTTTTTTTTTTTTTTTTTCCCCCTAACAGGTAGTTCCGTTTGTTTTTGCCCAGAATGGTGCTCGTCTACTCGAATGCTTTCATTTCTGGTAACGTTCCAGTAAATCACGTGGTTCCTAGTTGAAAACAGCAGAGTATTCATTCCATACTTTGGGAGTGAGCAAGCAAGTTCTAATCTCCAAGGAAACACATTTATCATTCATATTGCGCAATGGAACCAACAAGAAAGAGAAGTAAAACGAAGCACAGTGGAAGCACTGACAGCATTATTGCAGTGCAAAGTAAATATGAATGGATGCTGTAACTTCGAGCCGATGGGTCAGCATTTGGAGTTGGTGAAAAAAGTAACGCAGGAATACAACTCTGAACACAGTAATGCCACTAAGTAGAATGATGATTAGACATTCACCTGCCATTGTATTATGGAGATCTACAATAAATATCATTAAAAATTTCGTGGGTTTTTTTCTGCCGTTATTTTGACATATAAAATGCTTTGGTATGTTATAAGGATTTTTTGCTCTTTATAAGGATTTTTTTTGGTAGTTTATATGGGTTGGCGCTCCGAAAGGTTGACAGGTATGAATTATGCAGTATTTTTTTCAATTGTGAGCAAGAGATAATTTAGCGTTTTTAATTTAATTTTTTTTTGGGGGGGTGGGTCTCAGTCTAAAATGTTAGCAAAGCAACATGGATATTTTACTATACCCAAGTACATTTTTATTGTGGTTTAAATTTTTTTTATTGCAATGCAGTTTTATCTTGATTTCTACTACTTCCACTAATATTCCCTTGCAGAAGTGACAATGGGGAAGAATTTCACAGAAGAAGCTGCGTTGCATTCTGTGATTCAGTGGAACCTTCAGAGACACAAGTCAACACCCCTTCTCAATGGACACAAGAGGATAATGTCTTCGACCTGATTGAGCATCATCGACCCACATTAAACAAACAAACCAAAAAGAAACTATAGCTAATTGTGGTTGCAAAACAAAGCGATTAAATTGCAGTTGACAATTTTGCGGTTCCTCACGATGTACGACATGCAACAAAAACGTTTGCAGATGTGTGAACTGTGGACAACTATCTTATTCTGAGGTTGCTCTCATCAAGCTAAGTGAGGTCGTATCGGAAGTACAATGACTTTGCACTAACAACTCACGATTCAATTCTTGATTGTCGAAATGGTGACCACCGTTGCGGACTGACCACAAGCAAAATAATCGTAAAATGAATATTGATTAAAAAAAATTTTTTTTTTTAATGTGTAGGCTTTCCAAAATGTCTTTCAGGTTGGTACACCTGAATAATCCAACGAAATCCAACACAATGGCAGCATAAATAATTCTGCATTTAAAACACAAAGTCTTGCCCGACGCCGTCAGAAAAGCATTAAAATCATGTTTATCGCTGCTGGAATGAACGTACCTAACTCAAATAGCATACTGAAAAAAAAAAAATCTAGTCAAAGTCGACATTCCCCAAAAAACAATACCCACCCTCATATTTAGCATAACATGCTCAAAATTATTGTCTTTACAAACTCCGATTATCCACCCCCCCCCCATTTGTATTGGAATTTGATTGCGGAGGTGTACCTAATAAAGCTAGTCTCTCTGTGGGTGGAGGGAACCATCCCACATCAGTTGTGTTGTGCGTCGTGCAATCAATTACTGTACCTGTCGGTGACAATGTTAAAGCAAGAATTACACTGTGTGTGAATGTATGGCTGTCGCACCAATTTCATCTCTGTGTGAACCTCTTGATCCTAATGGACTTCAATAAAACATACTGTAGTTTGGCAAAAAAAAAAAAAAAAAAAAGCAAAAACTTTGGATTCTGTCCCCTTTTTATTGAGTCTTAAATCAAGGTGTACAAAAGGCATGCAAAAATAGCTTTGTTTACATATAAAGTCGATATTTACAATGTGCCCGTATGAGCGTGGAACGTTTCTGCTTCGCGCCAAGAAATACGTACAGTGCTTAACAAACGTATTAGACCAGCACCAATGTTTAGAAGCTCTTGGAAAAAAAAAAAAAAAAAGGATGTACTTGATGCTAAAATATAAATAATGTCATCTCTGAATTTGTAAATCATGAGTTCAATTAAAATGTTAAGCTCATTTTTATTTGATGAATTTTGGACTTCTCAAAAAGACAAGTCAGCCGGATCTAATTTAGTTGTCGAAAGGAGATTTCAGTTTCCATTTATACATTTCCTGCTTGGCTTTATTGGGATCACGCCTGAACTGAAGCCTTTCAATCTACCCAACTTTTACCTATCAGTCAGCCCTCTGCAGGCCAACCATTCACATTTGCATTTAGACCAATGGGCAGTTTACCGTCTTCAATAAAAGCTACATGCAAGTTTTTTTTTTCCAATTGTGAATGGAAGCTGCAGTACCCAACTCCACACTGAAGGGTTTGAATTGAGCAACCCGGGACCTCTTGACTGTGAGGCAGACATGCTGGCCACTCGTACACTGTGCCGCTCATGAATACACTTTAAAATCTTTATTTTTGTTCAAACCGGGAAAAACATCCACATGAAAAAACACTTCATAATACTGTTTTTTTTTCTTATGACGTGGTCGAACAAATGAGTTAAGCACAGTACATGCAAGAAATGTACCAAACAACGCAACACAGACCTTCAACATGGAACAGGACAGTCAAATACACAGCAGCAAGCTCACATTCCTCCATTTTGCTTCACCCAAAATCAATTCCAGTGCAACAATTGCAGCATCCATTTTCATCTTTTCTAAAAGCCCCGTTTTCGCGACACCGGGGCACATTTGATATTTCCCATGTAAGAATATATTAACTGTATGCATCATAAAATGCTGCTGGGCATAAATCGCAAACAACATGCATAACAGTAGCATTCCTGCAAGTGTTACAACTTTTCATTGAGGATGCACAGAAAAGCAAACATGCAGGTTATTTACTTCGATATTTTGGAGCTGCAGAATACCGCAAGGGTATGTCATTACACGTTGACCTTTTTTTTGGGGCCTCTTCTATTACATACCGACTCAAGAGGTTAACTGACACATGCCTCACCAAAGATTTCAAAATTTAGAACTTATGCACATCGGGTACGTGAAAGAAAGCGCTTCCGTAAGTTATTTTATTTGCTGCTTTTACCATTGAATACCGTTAAATATTAGCACACAACTGTGAAAAGCAAATAAGCACCCAGGAGTAAAGCATCTATTGTTTTTTTAAAGGGGATGCACATCATGACTATTAGTCTTGCGGATGTTGCAGGTCTTTCATGTAAAAGTGATATATTTACAGAAAATGTAAAGTGCAAGCAGTGGGTTACCTTTGAAGGTTGATGACCAAATCACAGTACACAAGAGCCTGAGTGTTTGGACAAAAAAGTTAGCGGCACAGACATGTACATATAAAAAAAGAAAGAAAAAAAATATTCACATTGAATGTTTTGCATACACAAAAGTTAGCGGCACAGACATGTACATATAAAAAAAAGAAAGAAAAAAAATATTCATATTGAATGTTTTGCATACACAAAAAAAAAAAAAAAGCCCTTCATTGAAACTTCCCCTCATCAGTACTTCAAGATACAGCAAGAAAAAAAACAGAACTATACAAAACAATAGAGCACTTTTGCTGTTTGATGCCGACACATTTTTGATAATTGCACATTAAGATAGAAATATGAAACAGCTCTTTTGTCAACACTTTGGAAAAAAACATTCTCCCTTGATGCAATAGCGGTTAGGCCGTCAGCAGCGTTCGTGATTCCATGAACTCTTTCAAAGCACGCAGACTTGATAAAACGGGATGTAAAACGCCCTCCAATGTTAGTTGGAGCAATACTCCCCCTCGTCATCTTTCACCGGAGGACCCTGAGGAGGAAACCGATCGAGGGCATGCAAAAGTGCAGCGCTCCCCCTTTCTAATCAGCCACACTGGGGAGAGCGGAGTGGTGGATGCAGAGTGGCTGTTCTTGCCAGACAAAGCCTAATCGTGACATTGAAATGCACCTTGTCAGTGCGGCTCAACGGATTTCTATTTCGCAAGCGGTGGCCAATGAAAACCCGGTCAATAATTTCAGTTTAATCCCAAGTGAGGAAAAATAAAAAACAACCGTCAATATCAGAATCCAGTATGGAAAAAAAAAAAAAAGATCTCCCTGAACGTCAACAGGACATTGACACTATAATGTGTTTTGAATGTGATGATTCAGCTAGAGTTGAGTGATTTTGTCTTTCGACGCCGCCAAAGTTGATTTGAAATAAAACACAAAAATAAAGAATTTAATTTAGGACTAACAGCCATTTTGTGGAGAGTAATTGAATTTCCAGGGGCTAAAACGTTCAAGTGAGGATACCATCATTATGCTGCAAAAACAAACAAATAAAGGTGAGCTACATTCTTTAAAATTAAACACTGGTGAGCTCAACAATAAAAGACCAGGATGCAAACAGGAGACAAGTGAAGTGGATAAGGTCACTCTATCATCACATTCTACAATCAAGAGACACCTTCATGAATGCAAATAGAATACAACTAAGTACCATCTGATGCTTTGCAAAAATGAAACCGAGGTCAACTTGTATCAGAAGGATTGGAAGAGGAAACAAAAATGGAGATGGAGAGTCATGATCCAAAGCATCCCACATCATTGTGTTACACATGGTGGACACAGGTTAGGGCTACAAATGGAACCAGGTCATTCGTGTTTATGGATGACGGATGAAAAAAAGTGAACTTCCGGTCATGGAAACCAACTTAAAATGGTTTAGAATTACCTATCAAGTGTCTCAAAAGGTGGCAAGGCACCACCTGAAGCTCCTTAACTTACTTAAACATAGTTTCTTGGTACCAAGATATCAGCAGAGCACTGCATGAAGCTCCTCAACTGACTTCAACATTGTTCGTTTGCACAAGGATGCCATAAAATGGCACCACAGCAATGCTCTTATGTTACGCACAAGTTAGGCCAAAAAGATAAAAAAGGGTGCCCTGGAATTGGGGGGGGGGGGGGGGGGACACCAATCTGGCTTGATTCTGTTCTAACATGGAGACAAATGCTACAAAATTGATAACATTTTAGCGAGATGACTGATAATGACCCAAAAATGACTGAACTCCAGACATTTGGAAAACAAATTCAAGTCACTTACTAAAAACAAAAAGACCCATAAACAAGCATTAAGTGAAGACCTGGTAAAATATCTCAAGGGAGGACAATCGGCATTTGGTGATGATCTATGGGCTCTTGAACTCAAGCACTCAACTCGGTGGCTGCAAATTATTTTCATTCCAGCATTAAAATGCAAACTGAGAGGCTCAGCACAGACAGCCTATAATTCCAAAATGGCAAATGGAATATTTTTCTACAGGACTCCACTTCAAACACAATTTGATTGTTTCATTTCAAATCAGTGATGGGGGTGTATGACGGCCAAATCGTGCTAAACTCTTGTCATTGCCCTATTACGAAATCTGGAGATGGTTCCAGGAATATTTATCAGACTCTTGTCATAAAATGTCCCCGTCGGTCTGTTCAAGAGCAAATACTGTTCAAGTGAAGGGCCGCTTTTTTTGTGATCACTGTCAAAAGTGTGGTTGTCGTTACTTTGGGAAGAAATTTCACAGGCTTCAAGGGCAGCGAAGGCAACATAGGAATGAGTAAACAATATGATATAAGGATTGTGGGAATGACCCCGATAAGACCTTCAAACATCTATGTACAATAATTAAATAAGCCATAATTGGTCAGAAATTAAAAATTCTGCAGCAAGTCATTCGAAGGGAATACACACTCCACATAGTGTCCAACTAGGAAGCCAAGGTCCAGTCTTTGACTTTTCCTTCTCCACAACAGGCCGACATGAAAAGAGAAAATGATTAAAAGCAGAGTAAAAAAAAAAAAAAGGGGGGGGGCGGAGAGAAGTAATGTCACTCCGAGGTCAACAGGAAGTTCAAACACAAGCACGGAGTAAGAAAAAAAAAAAAAACACTGGACTTCCATGCCTGTTTTCTGCGTAGCGCATGAAGTGGCAAGCACATAAACGGTTGAAGCAAAGGAAAGGGGAAGAGAGGTTGAAGAAAAATAACAACAATGTCTAAGACTCAAGACGAGGGCTCATCTTCATGCAGATCCTCCAGCTCTCCTTCCCTGGGTCCATCACCTGTGCTGCTCTTTCTGGAAAAACCATTCGAGAGAAAGAAAGAAAGAAGAATGACTGTCAATACACGGGCATCTCCAGAGCACCTCAAATGGAACCGGTGAAAAACGTCCATTACAGATGAGCATTAAATACACAAGGACTGCATCTGACGCCATTAAATGACAGCAGCAGCGGCGGCGGCAGGAAAAAATGACAAAGAAAGTCAGAGGTGGGAAAGGAGCGGTTGAATCGCCTCCAGAACGAGGCAAGCGGAGGCCGATGATGCGGTGGATGTTGGACACATTGCATTCACCTGCCACAACATTAGGTACACCTGCACAATCTAATCAGCAGAATACAAAAGCACTTTGTATTGGGAATGTTGCAGATATTACAATGAGATGGATGAGTTTAACCAAGGCTTAAATTTACTGCATGTCCTCTGTGAATTGTAAACTCATTTTTTAATCTAATTGGGAAAGCTACAATATCATCGAAAAATGGGTCTTAATTTGAATTTCAATTCAAAAAGGGAAACTTATTATGGAGATAGATGCCTTCAACATTTTTAAAATACTTCGCGATGGCCAGCTCCTACTTCGTTTCTATTTTTACAATTATTTCAATGGTTTCTTATATAAATATTGTATTCTAAGCTCTAATCATCACCAAATAAATAGAATCCTGAAATATTTCACTCTCTGTGTAATGAATCCATACAATATGGATGAGTTTCATTTATGGAATTGAACTACTGAAAAAACAGTTTATTGAGATACACCTGTACGTGTGACCTCCAAAACAAAACCAAATAAAACAAGTCGTGTTTTTTTTTTTTTTTTTTATCACTCTTGGTGTGTTCACTTCTCAATATATATATATATAAATTTTTTTTTTTTAAACGTTTGATAAGAATTTCGTATTTGTTGATGTTTGCTGACTGCTGCTCTTCCAGTCAGCTTTCTAAAAGCTGAAGACAAAATACAGTTCTTATTCTGGATCCCCTTCATATTTGCAGGTGTACCTAATGATGTCTCTGGTGAGTGTATATGGCACGTGTTACCTGAGTGATGGGTGCACTTTTAAAGTTGGCCGGAAAGGCCAAGAGTCCCTGCAGCAAAGTAGGAGAAAAGACGGAGAGCCATTTGTGAACGAAAAACCTCAGGAGCTCAGGAGGGGGAAAAAAAAATGGCAGCTGGTGGAGGCAACCACTGACGCTCTCTCTTCCAATGATTGGGATGAATCATCAGTCAACCTGCAGGGGCTTTACTTGATTGTCTGAATTCGGAGAATCATATTTCTCGAAGGGCATGTTTCAATGCTCATCACCATTTAATTAATTACTTTCTTGTCCCCTTTCATAGGATTCACAAGGAATTTCCATTGGAATTGCGACGACCTTATGCAGTTCATAATGACGCATCAAGAAGGCAAAAATGGTGATTGAGACGCTTAGGTTATAAATTTATTTTCTGGATGTTTGTTTCTGTACGAGCCATGTAAACCCGCGAACATAAACCAAGCTTTCTTCAAGCCAGCTGCCACGGCCATTGTTCATTTTATGCACCCCTGCTGCAGCAATTTGCTGCTGTTTCAAAAGCATTCCGGGATGTGATGAAACATTACCCAATTGGGTCTTTATCACTGCGTTTTTTTTTTTTTCCATCCAATCCTTTCTTTGTTCCCGATGTCTGACACCAACATACAAAGAAACCCTTACAAAAGCCGGTAAGCTCCACTGCATACAAATATAGGATGAATTATGGCGCTATGGTGACAAGACAAAGCAGCAGTCAGAGCTGCGGCAGCGACGGTAGCTCGTCTAATAGAAGAGAAAGAGGAGACAGGAGGGAAGTAGCAACGAGAGCCCTAGACCGCGAGCAACCTTAAATATTGAACAACCGTTTGGACCGTTGTGCTCTTTATTAACAAAATAGCAAAAAGACCCCGGATGAGTCTGACGTCTGGACTTACATGAGCAAGCTGCTGGGTGCCGACATCGACCTCTCTTCCCTTCGACTCGGACACTCAAACGGATTACTGAAGGAGCGTTTCCTCAACATGGCTTTGACCAAGATCTGAAATTCACAATAAGAATGGGATTCAAACTGCACAACAGCTTTGGGCTTGTTTTGCATTGTCATGTTGGATCAGTACGGGACTAAGTTGCTCATGCAGTCGGGGCCTGATTTACCAATGGTTTGCTGACTTGATTGCTCAGGCAAACAGAGGTGGAAGCTGATCTACTACTAACAGGGCGCACCCACAGAATTGCGTCAGTTCATTTTGCAAGAATATGAAACTAGATGAATATAGCATGCGCATTCTGGGGGTGTACTCAACCGGATTATTTAGCACGAGAAATGAGATTTATCAAGCCTGATGCTAATTGAGGTGGCTGATTTATTAGCATCTTTATATACCACGTCTGAGAGGCGCCGCTGTGCCTAACGACGACTGCGTTATTGTGGCGAGGAGGATGCACGGACACGACGAGAGGCGATGGGAAGAAAGGATCTTTCTTGCTTGTGCAAGAATTTTTAAAATGCCAAAAAAAAGAAAAAAAAATCCAAAACTTCCAGTTTCCTCGCTTAAAGCTTAACATCACACTTGTTATGATCTCCCAAGTCATTCTATGGTGAAACCCTTTAGAGCTACTTAAAGTATGATGAAAAGAGAATACATTTCATTTGACTTACCACAGCAGAGAGGCTGGGAACAAACTTGACTGAGTTCTTGATGTCCTCTTCCGTCACCTCCACCACAGAGCAGTGCTCCTCCTCCAGAGGCAGGGGGTCGGTGCCACCCTGAGTCACCCATTGGTCTACCTAAACACACGGACGGACACGGTTCGCTCCGATAAGCGCAACCTATGCTGTGATCATTCAGCAAAAAGCAAACCGCTACCCAATTAGGTAATTAATAAGAAGTGCTTGGCAAGCACCAAGCACACATTGCGTGATGTTGCTTGGTTCGGTTGGCAGTACTATGTGAAATTTACACAACCGATTTGAATGAAAGATAGCCGAGCGAGAAACTGTTAAATTTCGGTGAGACTCAGATAGAAAAAAAAAAAAAAAAATCAATCAATAAATAAGATATCGGAATCTCTTAGGGGCTTGTCTTTCAAGACCAGCAACTCAAGTTAAAGGCGGGACTTGGTTCAGAATATATTGAATTCAGACGAGGATTCGTCAGGACTCAATTGCAAGTATTCCGCACAATAAGGCCCAGCTAAAAGTATTCAATTTTCTCTAAAGCCGACAGTGAGCCCGATAATCCGATGCGCCTTATGTATGGATCAATATTCTCATTTCTTGGACATAGTATTTTAAATGTTCCGTAAAGCGTTTTGTAACAGCAGCACCGGTTGTGAAAGCTCAATATAAATAAAGCTGTATTGTATTGTATTCCATTTAGCGTAGCTCCATCTAGTGGATGCATAATGTAACCTCAGCCACTATATTGTAGCTTCTATCTATGCACCTTATAATGTGGTACACCCTTTTATATGAAAACAGTTTTAAAATAGACGGTTCATTAAAAGAAAAAAAATTATATATATATA